TGAAAACGTGTCAATTTTTAGCTTGTAAACACTCTAGAAGGTTAATTATTGACCAATTTTGACGAAACTTGGTGTGAGTGTTTGTTGTCACCTAAGGATGAACACTATTGAAAATCAGAAAAATCGAAACATATTTAGTATGAGTTATTGCCCTTGTTCTTTAAAACGCGTTCAAGTTTTAGCCTGTAAACACTCTAGAAGGCCCAATTCATAACAGATTTAGATAAATCTTGGCTTGAGTGTTTGTTATCACCCCTAAAGAGTTCAAAAGAAGTGTAAGTGTAATCATACTGCTGATTTTTACTGTACTGCTAAATATTTTTATTTAAAATCAAAGCTGCCAGTGGGCATATATTACCTTGCCTGGCAAACTATCTTTCAAATAGAAATCTTTTCATGTTTCAATTGAAATGATTTCATATTACTTTGTGACAGTGTCACTGTATACTAAAACATTTAGATATGAAAAATTAAGACATATTTCATTCTTAAAGATGGGTTTCCTTATTTTCATTTCTAAAAATAAAAATGCTAATACTTATATGAATAGAAGGTAGAGGTGTTCTAATGACTTGGAAAAATACCAGTTTGTCTCACATGTCCATAATTAATTCATAATTAGCTAAATTAGAAAATTACCAGCAGAATTCCAATGAGTCACCGGTCAAGAAAGGTCAAAAAGTCTTTTTTGGTTTAACCAGACTGTACATACATGGACATTTATGATTGGTGAATACTCTTAATTATATGCAATAAGAACAAAATGATATGATTAAGAATACATGATAATTCATTAGAAACACCAATTAATCAAATAGTTTGCTTAATTTGACATAAAAAATAAGGAAAGCCATCTTTAAAGGGATCCTAAAGAGGTTTTCTATGCATTTTATCACGAAAGCTAATACTAATAAGGGCTTATTGCAATAGTGATTCTATATAATGCTTAGTTTTAAGAAAGAAACACATGAAAATGGTGACAGTTGATGCTAAGAGTGTCTCCATCAGACATAAAATTTGAATATTTAGAAAAAAATTGATGTACAACACATCTTGTCAACTAACTATGACTTTGTTATTCCATAGGACATATTAAATTACATATGACTTTGTTATTCCATAGGACATATTAAATTACATATGACTTTGTTATTCCATAGGACATATTGAATTGCATATGACTTTGTTATTCCATATATTTTGAACTGAATATGACTTTGTTATTCTAGAGGACATATTAAATTACACATGACTTTGTTATTCCAGAGAAAATATTGAATTACATAATATGACTTTGTTATTCCAGAGGAAATATTGAACTGAATATGACTTTGTTATTCCATAGAAAATATTGAATTACATAATATGACTTTGTTATTCCAGAGGAAATATTGAACTGAGTATGACTTTGTTATTCCATAGAAAATATTGAATTACATAATATGACTTTGTTATTCCAGAGGAAATATTGAATTACATAATATGACTTTGTTATTCCAGAGGAAATATTGAACTGAGTATGACTTTGTTATTCCAGAGGAAATATTGAATTACATAATATGACTTTGTTATTCTATAGGAAATATTGAACTGAATATTACTTTGTTATTCCATATAAAATATTGAATTACATAATATGACTTTGTTATTCCAGAGGAAATATTGAACTGAATATGACTTTGTTATTCCATAGGAAATATTGAATTACATAATATGATTTTGTTATTCCATATGATTTAAAAAAAAAAAAAA